CACAGCCTACTGGGGTCTGCAGTATACTGAACCCCCCCCAACCCCCTCTTTACTTCCTGACAATCATCCCTTGGTATGGTTTACCCACTCGAATGGCTGTCCCTGCTACTCTTTTCAAGATTTTCTCTCCTCTCCACCCTCTCTGATCTCATCCCTCCTCATCATCGTCTGTCTCTTCTCCCTCAGCGGTTTTTGAGACTACTGTGTGGTGATATTTTAGTTAGCAAGCATCTGGTATAGCTGAACAAGACTGAAACATCCTGCTAAGGCCAGTTATTGATTTATATTATTATAAAGGGAGCCATTGTTTGTAGAAGTGGATCGCTCGGCCTGCTGCTGCCCTTCTCTTGGCTCTAACAATGTTTCCCGTCCCTGGAGAGTCATTGTCTTCAGGATTTAACTGCTTTGTGTGGTATCTTACTTCAAGTGTTGAATTGCTCTACTGCTAGGATCACCCATTTTAGTAGCTATGGTCTGTTTTTACCATTCCTTTTAGCCACCTTCGGGTGCTCTCCTGTTACAAAACACACATCAACAGAAATGTTGAATAGCTCAGGTGAAAGAGACGCTGAACCTCTACTCTTTTTAAGTTCACTGATGTGATGAGTCAACAGAGATTTTAACAGTGCTACCAGCATATTCTCACTCAAGCAAACACTACATACATCCCACACCAAAATTACAGGAAAAAGACCTTTCAGGAAATTGAGTTTTCATTCAGGCCCCTTTTACCCACTCCCTCGGACAGAAACCAAGACATACCTTTGTGTTAGTAATGAAAAGAGGTTTTACTTCCTCTTTTATTCTGGTAATGCACACACAGTAAACACATGTGAACCTATACCACAAACACACCAGTTCTTTAACACTCAGCAGTCTCAAGCATCAGGGTGGTGTTGTGGTAAAGCCATATGGGGCGCCACTGCTTGAGAAACTTAGTCATTTGACAGGAGGCCTAAAGAACACACAGACACACGCACAGCCTTAATTGACTTGTAAAACTCCACTAAAAGTCGCTTTTATGGAACAAATTTTAGACCAGTCTCACAGGATTTGATATCAACTTGTGCCCAGCTTGCAATTCTGTCACCACAACACTGTCTTTATACCCAATCCAAGAGCAATTTATACTTTTCATGATGAATAAACTGAATAAGCTGTACCAAAGACGCCAGAAAATTGGCAGATTGATATGGGTAAAGTCTGTGTGTGAAGTAATTCTGGTTTGGACCTATTGGTGCAAGGGAAGAGTTATTGAGCTGCTCGGGGTGGTAGGGGAAATGGACAAGGCATTTGTTAGGGTATTAATAACCCCTTACTCTTTGTACACTGACAGTTCAGGCTTAGGTGCTACTTCTGTAAGGCCCTTGTGATCCTCATACTGCTCTATCTGTTGCTGGAAGCATTCATCTTCAAGCCCGAACCTCAACGGCCAGTCTGTGTAAATACAGTCGAGGCTATATGCTGTATGATTGTGACTGTTGACTCTGTGGACCGAGCGTTTCCTGGTGGAGATGCTGGCAGAAGCATTCACACCAGTTTCCCCTCTGGTGGCAGAGCTGCAGACACTCCGGCTTTCAGATTCTATGGAGGTGTAGAGGGGATGTGATTTTTCACAACCAGGCCTAAACTCAGCCAAGTCTCAGTCTCAGGCCTCACTCCAAACCTGCTAAATACCTCCGGGAGGTTTACCAGAGGATGAGACAAGGAAACACATGGCAGAGAGTGATCCCTCTGGGTAAAAGAGCAGGGTCATATCTCACTACTCCATTTATCAGGCGATATCTTAACACATTGGCTACTGCTCTGTGGACGTAAACATAGCCCCAAAGACACAATGCCATAGGCTAAGCCATCTTATCCGATTTCTATATCTCTGGCCTCATCTCTCTGCATGTGAGAGGGGGATTTGGCTTTATACACTGAATAAATGTACTCTTTGGACATGTATGCAGCAAGGGCCCCTCAGGCCTCTTTAGTGCACCGCACACTGGCTGTGAGCTTTCATTTACACTGTAAAGCAGTCAACACACCATCAAGTTTGGAGTCTAATATTATTAATAAGGCAACAAGACATGTAGTGGTCTCTAATTGTTAGGACTATGATTTACCATCATTTAAGCTGGTTTGGTCCTTTCACCGTCATTTGTGTGCAGTCTGTCATCATCTCTCGGATAATAGCACTAATGGTATGTCAAACAATCTTATCATGACCTCAACATGGAGATGATCAGATAAGATCTCCATGAAAGGAATCTACAGTAGGTGTGTTGCAGACACAACTTTTGTCACCATAGAGCCTCAACTACAGAGCGAACTTCAGTCAGGATATATTGCTTTATGTTTTAAAGAGAACTAATGTCAGTTAACACAGTCACTACAGTACATATTCACTGACACCTGTCTAAAAGCAGATGTTCTGTAGTGCATGCAATGTTTGGCTTACGAGGCGGTACTTCACATTTTCACGTTGTAATAAATGGATAGTCTTTTGCAAACAGAGAATGATTTCTAAAGCTACTATGCTACCTAACAATTTATTTTTTGCATTTTATTGTAAAATAAAGTCCTTACCATAAACTAGCTGATAGGGGGTAATCCCTTTCACTAGCAGAGAGGCACTCAGGCAATCAGAATCGGAACATCTGTTGCTGATCTTAAAATGACAAAAAAGAGCCAAATATATCTCCATAAATATTAATGAGGATTGGATTTTAGTGGATATATTTACTGCATCTCTGCAGAGAGACTACATGCTCAAAACATTTGCTTTCTAATCTTTACGCTAATTATGAATCCATAGGACTCGGAGGGTAAATCTGGACTTATATTCTTTTAATATTTTGGCTGCTTTCCTCTAACTATTCTAAAAATGTATAGTTCAGAGAAGCAATGCCTTGTGCAGTAGTGATGTTTCACAATCTATTAGTTAGCTGTTGTGGAAAGTAACTACCTTAGTACAAATGCTAGACACTTTACTTCAATAATTGTCTTTTCATGCCACATTTCAAAGGGTAATTATGTACTTTTTACTCCCACCATATTTATCTTACAGATGAACTAACTAGTCACTATACAAACAAATGATTACAATTACAGCTGAAACAATGAGTTGATACATTTGCAACTATTCTGATTTGGTTTATTCAGTTTTAAAACAAAATCATTTCAGTTTCACAAATGTGAGAATGTACTGCTTCCTTTTAATTAGTTTAATTGTAAATGAACTTCAGTAAAATGTTCAATGTTAAACTTTTACCTGTAAAATAAAAAAATGTACACAGTGTTATTAGTTTTTTTGGATCTAAATACTTCCTCCACTACTGCTATTTAGTCAGTCTAGATGATAGGGGGCCCAATACAAAGCTCACATGCAAACCACATTCATTCAGTAATACTGGGATGGAACTGTACATTTTTCACTCCCTCCACGTGAGAAGACTATGAGAGCACCCCTTAAACTGTCAGGAATGTGTCTTGCTCATGGACACTTCAGCAGTGTGGAAGGTAGCCAAAACAGAAGCTTAAACCTGAATCCTCCACGCTAAATAGTGATATATCCCATCTCCCTGCCTCCCCAGCATAGTATACCGTGGATATAGCAGGGGAAACAGACAAGAAGGTGGCATAGAAGGAAACTTTTCCAGGCCTAGAAATTGCATTTTGGTGCTAACTCCAAGTTTCATCTGGTCTGACCGCAAACAAAGCAGGAGCAGTGGCAAGCCAAAGTAAACTTGGACCTGAGAAGCCGTGTCTGGGATGCCTGATGAAAGGCAAGAAAACGTCAGTGTGCCCGCAGTTCTCACTGTCAAATGGCTTACTGAATAATCCCTGATATTCCTCCATGATCTAAACCTGCAGCCTGAAAACCTAAAACTGTAGCAACAGAACACTGTCGCATTGTTGTGTCCCTGCTCTAAAGGAGTCTGTGATTCATTTACTGGCGGAACATTTTGGATTCATATACTGTATTTTTCTCATCCTTATACTGTTGTGAACTTCAGCATTCCAAGACCAAACTGGATTCTTTGTGTGACTGTTTGTGTAGAGGATTAGGACTGATATTTTTACAGCCATCACTTCACTGATGTGAAGCAGGACATATAAGAAACTATTTTCACTGGTTTAAAATGTCTTATTTGTTGTCAAGAATAGAGAATTGAAGTGTTAGTAGTATCTCCAAGACTTGGAGTATAAGTTTGGCAGCATTCTGAAACTCCCCACTGATCACACTGGCTCTTTGTGCAATGACAGCACCACGGTGAAATGCTGCAATAGTGCTCTCTGCTGGTATGAACTCGGAATATTGTTATTTAATTTACATGGATTTAAGAATGAATGGGGTTTTTTAAGGTTTACTTTAAAGATATATTAAAAAAGGAAATATGTTGTGAATGTGGTTTAATGCTTTGCTTGCCTATATTAATAGTTTTCAGATAAGATTTGAAAAGCACATGATATAATCACTTTTAATATTGTGTATAACTTAAACAGTTAACGTTTGACAACTGATCCTCTCTGTTCTCTTCTTCTTCTTTCAGGTTGGCTTTGCTCTGGTGCCTCATCAGCTGTCAGCGATGAAACTGAAGAGATGAACCTGCAACAAGCGGCCCTGTCCCTGCACTTCCTGCCACTGGACGTTTAGTGATTCATACCACACAGAGGACGATGGCCCTGTCTCCCAGATAGCCCTTCTGAGGAACAGGCCTTCACAGCACGCATTGTGCACCATGGCAGGAGAGACTCAGCGGATGCATGCTTTTAAAGAGCTGGCCGCTGAGTCCAAACTGCAGGATGAAGGGACAGTGCTGGAACAGCAGAGTGACAAAACCACAAAGGATTCTTCAGAGCACTTTTCAAGCACAGGCACTGATGCCAGAGCCGGCAGCAGAGGGGCCAAACTAGAGAAGACAAGGGACGTTCCTCAGCAGCGTGAGGCTGTCATACGGCCACAGCAGACAGGGAAGATTGACTTTAGCTCACTGCAGAACCGATCAAAATTTGCCACTGACAGGACTTGGTCGAGTGGCAAAGGCAGCCCCCAGTCCCCGAGTGGAAAGGGCCGCAGCCGAGAGAAGGGGAAGCGAGCAGGGAAGACGGAGCGTGGCAACCCGCAGCAGCTGTACAGACTGAGCATTACAAATCCACGCTCCAACCCCACCATTGGGATTGCCTACCCACAACAGAAAGTCACGCCACCCAAGAAGTTGGAGTCGAGTCGGGGCCCAGTCTCGGGCAGCTACAGATTCCACGTTCCCAGTATACCAGAGAGGGAGGCCGAACTTCAGCAAGAAGACCTCAACTATAGCCGCTGCTTCCAGGAGGCCTCGTCTAATCTTACCTCCCAAAGCTATACCTCACAGGCACTGGGTTCCTCAGGTGGAGTTTCATCCCACCCACATCCACCCCTGTCGCAGCAGCAGCAGCCTTCCTCAATGGAGAACAACAGCACACAGCCCGGCAGCCAGCTGATCCTTGCTGACTTTCAGCTGAGTGGATCTAATGTATGGCCGTCTCCTGAAAGGACTTTTAACGGTGCTAACTATGGGGTGTCATTACAAAAATCCACTTCCCTGACAGATGCTAATAAGGCAAGTGCCTTCTTGTCTGGGCAGTTTCAATATGGATATAATTTTCTGGAAGAATCAACCTCTGACTCTTTTCCCTGTGAACAGAACCCCCAAACCCAAGACTTTACAGACTCCTCGCTGGGTTCTGTTCATGTGCCCCACAACTCCTTTTCCTTTACGACTGGAGAAGGGCAAAACATTGCTCACAATAGCACTCAGTTTAGTAATGAACAGCTGTCGGAGGATAGAAACTCTTATCCTCAACCCCCGCTGTCTCAGTTTATTCAGGGGGTTCCTTCCTCTATCCAGTGTCCGAGGAATCTGAGCGAGGACTCAGCCAGTAGTGACAGCTCTGGGTCCAGCTCACAGCAGTCAGAGCAGGGGAAAACTGCCCTGCCCGAGAGCACAGACACTATTGCACTGGAAGACAGTCAGGATGCAGCCATCACCTCAGGGAGTAAGAGGAACTGTCATCCTAAAGACACAGCTGCCAACCAAAGACCACACATTCAAGGAAGTGTGCACCATGCAAGAAATATTTCAGGTCCAGGCTCCCAAATGCACTTTCCCAGCAAAACATTCAACAACATTCCAGTCAGTAACATTCACACAGGCTCCATGCCTTTTGATAAAAACATCAATAATAAGGTTTTAAATAGGTTACCACAATCATGGGAGGGGCCTAATAAGACATATTCACCAGCTGAACAAAACACAATTCAGTATACTGATATGAATGACAAGTTTCAGTTTCAGAACCAGCCAGCACCAGACCAAAGGTCCAATTCATCTAAAAATAGCAGAATGCCCTGGCAGCAGATACGGCCAACCCCTGCCATGCCCAACCAAAACAGAATTGAGTTATCTAGACAAATAAGCAGTCAGAAACTGCCTTACATTGTTTCCCCTTCTGACTGGCAGGAGGAAAGTAAATCACATAAACATAGCTCACTGAAAAACCCAGCCACTTTTCAAAACAACAGAACCAGTGATGGGTTTTTAAACCAAAGACAGGAGACTGTAAAACATAGCAATAACACAGTCTCTACTTTTAAAGTTGAGATGAGTCACGCACAAGTATGTGAATCCAAAAATAAGGGGGTGTATTTTGGACTAAACCAGTCCCTTCCAGCACCGGCATCGAGAAACTACAGCTATCCTCCACTACAGGTCCCACCTATGGGACTAATGATGGTGTCACCTTATGAATCTCCTTTGCCCTCACCAGTTCATAATGCTGCATCCAATAGTACCTGCTCCTCCCTCTCCCCAGCGTCCACCAGTCCTGTAAACATCAGTTCAGAGGACAGTCAAATGTCAAAGTCAGCCCCCCCTCACCCTTATTATCACCAGCCCATACCCAAAACACAGTTGTCCTCAGATCACCTGAACTCTAACCCTCATCAGTTTCATTCTGATGCTCGACGAAACCATCCTTACGCGCCAGACCGAGCCAAAGACGACATGATGAGCTACCTGCAAAACAGCACACATCCGAAGGCTAATATGGATGGAAACAAAGGTTACATGGACAGTTTTGGGGTGGAGCATCACCAGCCCCCGCCGCCATACTCTGCACATCAGCTGTTAGCGTCCTCATTAGCCGCAGCAAATCTTGACCAGTTAGATGTGCTTCTGACATGCAAGCAGTGTGATCAGAATTTCAACAACCTAACTTCCTTTCTGGGCCATAAGCAATATTGTGCTCAGCATACGTTTGCACAAAATGAACTCAAAGACATATCAAAGATGGAAGACAGCAGAAAGTTTCACACAGAACCCGCAAAAGCGGTGTCGTCTGTATCAAATGTTTTGATGTCACGGTGCCCATCTGACCTTCACCTATCTTTGTTGGGCCTCAATAAAAATGGGGAACTGATATCTGACAGTGAAACAAAAGGAGACAGCAAAGATGATCCAATGAAACTCAACCTGTTCTCTGGACCTGGTCACCTCCCTGTCACTCTCCCTGAGCTGGAAATGGATGCTAAATTAGACAGCCTAATTACAGAAGCTTTGAATGGACTCGGATATCAATCAGACAATGCAGAGATAGACAGTAGTTTCATCGATGCATTTGTTGATGACGACCTCACCACTGTCAAAGCGACATCAAATAAACAATGCCTGAAAACCAAAGAATCCCTGGTCTTTGAGAGCAAAAATAAACAGGCAGCAGAGGATGACAGGTCTTCCTCACAGGGAAAGTATTTTTATGACTCTGATGTTGAGAATCTTGAGATTGATAAACAGTACACAGAAAGCAAGCTTGAGAAAATATCTCTGAATTTGGAACAAGATGAGAGAATTAACATAAAAAAGGAAGTCTCTCATAAGAATTCAAGAATTGCCTCGAGGGAGAAGACGAGGGAACAAGACAACACATTGAAAGAGGCGAGAAAACTATGCAAGAGTGAGGATGAAAACGCAGGTACACAAAGGTTTCTCTTATCCAGCAAGTTTTCTGAGCGTTGTGGCGTTAAAAGCTTTCAGGAAAGCTCTGCACTTAGAGGGTCAACACCCTCACAGGCCTCCACATCTCCAACCTCAAGAACTGCAGTGAAAGAGAGCAAGAGGAAAAACTCTGGAGGGGGCACCTGGAGCAAAGAACTTATTCACAAAATAGTTCAACAGAAAAATAAGCTTCATAAGCTCCATGTTAAAGGAACTAAAAACCTCCAGTTTTCCCTCGTGATGGAGAGACTCACTCCCACTGTGCAGAACCCTGCATTTGGAGAATACGACTACGTCTCGGACACAGACGATGAATGTGAGCCTGTTAAGATGGCAAGCCAGGGCCGGCTGAATCAAAGCAGTCGGTGTAAATACACATACACAAAAGAGTGTAAGTGGAGGGCAAGAAGTGAGAGGGACCAGGCAGCGTGGCGACATGAGTCAAAGGAGTGTTTTGAGGTTAAAAAGAGTGAGGAGGTTTCTCTCTCGCCTGAGAAACATGCTTCTCACCAGAGACTCAGGAGGAGGGGTAGCAGGTCATCTACAAGCAGTGAAGTAAGCACATCTGTGAGTGTTTCAAGCGATGGTATCAGCAGCCCCAAAAGCATTGACCGCACTGACTCCGACTGTGAGAAAAAGACAGACGTCAAAAAGAATGAATTCCCAGAGCAGCAAACGTATGAAAGGTCTTCCCCGCAGAAGTTATGTAAAGACTCCAGCTCACTAGCACTGACATTCTCTAAGCCTGTCAAGAAGTACAATACCGACAAAGCCATTCTGTCAGACAGCACAGACGATCCACATAATCAGTCCAATCCAGAAGTTGATGAACAAGTGTCATCCTCACAAAGATCAAAAGACACAATCAAAAACTTTGAAAAAAGCAGAAGCTCTCATACGAAAAGAGAGAAGCTAATGTCTCCTAGAAAGGAAACTGGCAAAACAGTAAATCCAGACCAAAACGCTCCACAGAGAGAAGACAATCCGTGCACCAAAGAAGAACCAACACACGTGCTGTCTTTACACTGTAGTAGTACAGATAGCACACCACTACAGTTTGATTCACACTCTAACACCATCAACAAAGAACCTGATTTCAATATTGACACACACACAAAGGGTACAGAAGGCGAGGGGCCCCAAGCCACACAGCCAGAGCTATCAGACAGTACCACATTTGAAAAACAGAGTGACAGTGTCTGCATGGTGAAAGAGGCTATTCATTTAGTCAATGACCTAGACGCACACAAGCCTGCATCCCTCTGCACCTCTTTGATGGATGAGGTGTGCCTGTCTCCAACTAAGCGGCATGGCCCTTTGATACAAAAGGATATGCTCCACCTCATGCACTACCCCCTGGATCAGGACCAGGGGCTCCTGAAATCCCCACTTTCATTTGACACCTCATCAATGTTCGGGGATCTTACAGGATTTGACAGTGGCCTCTACTCAGATATGCCGATTCAGAAAGACGGTTTCCATTCAATGGAGAACACAACTGATAAAAAAGAAGAGTTTGTGTCATCCTTCTCTCCCTTTCTGGAACAGAGAGACTGGAACCTTATAGTTAGCCCTGTACTGCCGGATGAGATATCTCAGTACAAAAGCAGCTCTGAGAAACCAAACGAAAAGAAAACAGATTACAATCATGTTTCTTTGTCTCTGCCTGATAAAATAATTGACTACAGTGAAAGTCTCCACAGATGTGCATCAGAGGATGAGTTGGAGATAAAAAGAATAGTGAGTGAGCTTGAAAACCAGCTGCAAACAACTAAGTTGGAAAACCCAACCCTACTAGCTCAGGATGTCACAAAACAGCTGAAAATGAGCAAGTTTTCACCTTTACGTCTGAGTGACGAGACAGAGAGTGGGGGTCTGGATATAAAGTGCTCTGTGCAAACAATGAATGTAGCAGTGAGCAGTTTGCCCTCTGAGCCTTTCACTGAACCATGGTCCAGTCCATTCCACTTTGACCTAATGGGTGAGCACCACAGTCCCCACACTCCAATGCACAATGAACCAGGGGCCCTTGAGCATCTCACTGAAAACGTGGATGATAGTTTTATCACCACAGCCTCCCATATTGAACACCGACAGCTCCACCATGACCAGGAGTCAGTGAAGAGGGATGCTGAAAAAGAGACTCCTACTGAAACAAAGGAAGAGATTTTAGAACAGAAGAGGTATACAGAAAACCTCATGAAAAGCCTGGAGGTGATTTCCGACTCTATATTCAAAAAAGAACCCATTATATCAGAACACAAGGAGCCAAATGTCACCTCTCTCACAAGTCAACAACGTCAAGAAATTGAATGTCAGGCAACTGATGCAGTTGAGAGAGAAGATCACAGTGAAAAAGAAGCAATTACCGGGAAGGAGAATATATTATCACCTCCAAATATCAATGAGCGGAAGGACGATATTGAATTCATTCTGAATGAGTCACTGTCATCTCTCTCGAACAGCACTGACCCCACTGTCGATGGAAAACAGCCAATTTCATTACAGCCAAGTAAGCCCACAGAAAACAATGACAGCAAGGCTGGGACTAAAGTCACATCAGAGGAGGATATCACAGAGAATAGTCATTTGATTGAGTCCGCTCCTTGCTCAAGTGTGGTGACACATGACCCACATGTGGTTGAAGAGTCTGACAGAGACAGTAATGCAGCATACGATGTGAATCACTTATTTGAAAACAGTGGTAACAGTCCAGAACATTTGACCACAAATGGATATGAGGAAGCAGAGGCAGTGAAGGGGATCACCGATCAATCATTTAGCCAACCCTCATCACCAGCTCTACCTGACATTGGTCTCGACATTGACGAGCAAATTAAAACAGCAGGCAAAGAACATTCCACCGAAAACCATGATGACACTGAAGACATTAGTTCATTTGTCATTTCAGGAGTTGAATGCTCAGACAGTGTACACGAGGAAATAACCGCCGAACAGGATCCTTTGATTGGACTATCTCCATGTGAGAACCGCAGCCCTGCTAAGACTTACAGTGCAAGTCCAACAACTGCTCTGTCGATTGAGATCGTCACCACAGACGAGCCCTGTAGTCCAATACTTGTGGAACCCAATACAGAGAGCACCAGTCATTGCTCACCCTTCAGAGACACGGCATCCACAAAGGGACAAAGTCATCTCTTGATTATTTCACAGTCCGATGCCCTTATTGAGAGAGCTTCCTGCAACGTTTCGCCATTCGAAGAGTCATTAGAACCTGAAACAGGTCTTGGCTTTCAGGAACAAGATGATATTTTAAATGTTCAGGACATCAAAGAACACCTTCCTATTGATTTCCTGGCAAGTCACCAAAACTCACCATGCAGAGAAGAGGACGATGAAAGTGATTTTCCTCACACTGCCCCACCAACCAGTCCTCTAACTTCAGCCTCTGATCAAACAACCTTGGAAAACTGGAACGTTGAAGAGGGGTCATGTCAGTCACAGAGCAAATCCAGTGATATGTCTGTTAATCAAGGCTCAATTCAAAATATACAGTCCCCCATGAACACAGAAGAAAACTGCAACGGGAAAGAGGCTTTAAACAGTGACAGAGAACTGCACACAACAGCAGAGATTGAGTATTCCTTGATAAGCCCACATACTCTGGATTTGGGGGTAATTAAGTGTAAAATCCCCACCTCTGAAATCAGCATTCCTTCTCCACTTCCAGTCACCAGCCCAGCAGAACCAGCAGAAGTGTCAGATTGCCTCGAAAAGAGTGATTCGATGTGCGATTTCAAGCTCAGCCCTCTCAACTACAACAGCATCTCAGACGAACCTCCGCAACTGAATCAATATGACTACATTTCACCTGCCAGTGAACACAGTGAGAATGCAGACATCAAGCAGAGTCCAAGAGATGACTGTGGAGCATGTGACCTGAGCGTAAACCCTGCACTGATTTTCAACAAAGCTGAAGTAGAGGCGGTGGTATCACTGAACTCAGACCCTGCAGCTAAAATCATTTTATCAGTTGAACCACTGGTCCTCCAGCAAAGTATGGAATCCTCAGCTTTTCCATTGGGTGATTCCTCAACTGTTAATGAAAAGACAGATTTGCAGGTTCACCATGAAATAGTTGGACCTGTTGAGCCTTTGAATGTTGACCTGCTAAGAAAGGATGAACCAAAGATGTTAGGCTCTCAGCAGGCTTCTGCTGAAGATAGTACACTCATAAACAACATTTCAGATGGTCTGCCCACTTCTAAGCCACTCATTATCTGTGAAAATGAACAAATGCCCCCTCCACCAGACCCATCAGAGAAGCAACTCACAATACAGACTGGCCAGTATTCAAAAGCACAAGTACACAAAGAAGCAACACCAAAAAAGACACCAAACAGTGCCCAGCAGGGGAAAGAGCTCTGTGAAATCTGTCTTATGTGTTTCAGGACTGTGCCTGGGTTAAAGAGACATAAAGCGATGAAACATTTGGTCAGAAGTGAAAAACACATTGGCCTCCAGAGCACAACATCAAGCCATCAGGGGACTATGCTTATTTGTGAAGCATCACAAACCACAGAGAAAGAACAGAAAGATGATTCACAGACCTGTTACCCAACAGAAATAGACGGGCTGCCTGAAACAAGTAGCACTCTCATGTCTAAAGCAGCAGAGACTGAGTCAGTCCCGGAGGAACTGGCAAAAGAGACAAATGCAGTGACAGTGGGTGAAGTAGGCCATCGAAACCCTGTACTACCATCAAAAGCAAAGAACAACAAAACTAGAAAGAACAAAATCACTGATGTAAACATCAAGACAGACCCTTTCTCTGATGAGCTTCTGAATATATTAAAAACAGACCTACTTCAAGCTATAATCCCTGAATTCAAAAGCAGTGGAATACAAGAGATGCGCAAATCTCCAGCAGAGCATATGATAATCAATGAAAAAACTGTTACTGGAACAGAAACATCTCCTCAAGCTGTGACTGAACAATCTGGCTTCAACAGCACACCCCAATCTCTAACAAAAGAACCAAATGTACTAAATGAGACTGTGGAGCAAAATGAAATCACTAATACGGAAGAAATGAAATGTACAAGCATGACAAATGGTGACATTCATACAGATAATAATGTGGAAAGTGCTTTATCTGTAGACAATGAGCCAAGAAACACTCCGTGCTGTGCTGTGGAAGAAGTGTGTGAACAGAAAGCTTCAGAAGACAGCCTTGCCCAAGAGATCCTCAGAAAGGTGGTGGCATCAGACGAAGCACATCCTCTCTCCTGTTTGAGTTGTTCCCCTGTCAGTCCTCCCGGCATCAGTCCTGATCTGAAGGCACTACTTGACGACGACACCACATTCTCACAGCTGTTCCCCAGAGATGACGAGGCAAAAAGGAAAAAGTGCCCGAGGGTGTACAGCAAAAGAAACAAAAGACAAAAGCTATCGCCTGATACAAATGTTACTCAGGAATCTCCTCCTTTAGAAACTCTCATGCAAAGTAAAGATCAGTTCACGGAAAACAAAGCAGAGGAGATTTTCACTGAGAGTCAAACTAACCGCTGTGAATATGAGACAATATCTATTGATGATGCCATCATGTTGAATATGTGCCACAACAGCACGTTAAACACTGGTGTCAAGGAGGTGTCAGACGCTAAACAAAGTGATCAGCGGGATGTTCTTGAGGGCGTTAAAGAGGTCTGCAACAGCCCCTTGAATCCACTCGAGAGCACTGTTGATGAATCTTCAATTGAATGGAGTGGCTCCAGTGGCTTGGACGCAGGCTCAACGGTGACCTCTGACCCCAGCAGCTGTAAAGCAGAGGAGCCAACTCCACCCAGCCCTTCGCCCCCGCCCTCGGCCCCCCACACCGTAGACCCGTGCGTCACAAAGGGTATCCAAACCTTCCAAAGCATTGACATCCAAAACGTCAACACCACCTTTCAACTTCCTGAGATTAAGTTCTTCGATCCAAAAAAAGATATCTCAGTGGCTCCTCCGGTTGCAGCCGTCGACGTGGAAAACAGAGATGATGAAAAGTCCAAGAAAGTGACGGAGAGGCGGGGCAGGAAACGGAAAGACGGCGGAATAAAGGTCAAAGATAAGCAGTACAAGTGCAAAGTGTGCTTCACCTGGTTCCTCACCCTGGGAGAGCTGAACTTTCATAAACTCTCCCACAACCCCTCCCCCCCTCCAACCTGCTACATGTGTGTCCAGCGTAAGTTCAGCTCCAGGGAACAGCTGAGAGACCATCTGAGGGAGAAACACGCCAAGAACAAGACAGGTATCTGGACCTGTGGAATGTGCTTGAAGGAGATTTCGGACGTGTGGATGTACAATGAACATTTACGAGAGCATGCCACTCAGTTCGCTCGGAGGGGTCAGACTCAAGGCTCCATGTTAGGCATTCCAGGCTGCTTCATGCAGGAGACAGCTGTGAAGAACTTTATCACCTCCATCATGCAGCACCGCCCCAGCAAAGCCAGCAGAGAATCCAGCAAAGCCACTAAAGAACAGGAAAAAGCTGTCACTGCAGACGGCGCTGTGGGAGAGGGGAAAAGCTCTGAGGGGGCTGAGCCAAAAGTTCACAAAACTAAAAGTAGCAGTGGAGCAGGCGGGAAGCAGAGCACATTAACCCCGCTCGAGGTCCTCCACAAAACAGAGACACCTAAAAGTGTGGAGATGCATCCAAACTGCAAAGACCCCTCAAGAGACTGCCACCACTGCGGAAAGCAATTCCCCAAGCCATTCAAACTGCAGAGACATTTAGTGGTTCACAATCTGGAGAAGATCTTCCTGTGTCACAAATGCCCCGTCTCTTATCAGGAGGCCCAAGAGCTCAAAGGTCACCTGAAGAGAGAACATGAGGAGGTGGATGAGCTGGATTCCAAGCACACCACCCTCTACACCTGTGAGCTCTGTGCGGATGTCATGCATGTGATTAAAAAATCTTTCATCTGCAGCACCTGCAACTACACCTTTTCAAAGAAGGAGCAGTTTGATCGTCACATGGAAAAGCACCTGTCAGGGGGAAACAAAATCTTCAAATTCCGAGGTGTTCTCAGACCTGTCAAAGCGTCTGCTCCCAAAGAAGATGAATGTGATTCGCCTGCGAGTAAAAAGAGGAGAATTCTATCTGACAGTCTGCAGGAAAACAGCTCAGACAGCGGCATCGCCAGTGTAAGCTCACTGCACTTAAATCAAAACTCAGAGTCTTCAAAACCCTCCGTGTCCACATCAGACGACTCCACACAGACAATCACAAATGAATACCACAGTGACACAAACAACACAAATGTAAAGACTGAGGACGTTGCTGAGGACTACTCTGATCTACTTGTAGAGCTGGAGAAATGTATTCATATGGGCTCATCAGAGTCTGATGCAACGAAGAAAGAAGAACTTGACACAGCCACCTCACCTCTTCCTGATAAAGACACTAATCGGAAATCAATTAGTGATCCATGTGACGTGAAAGAAGAGAATGAGTCGGTCTGCATTAGAGCAGAAACAACCTCATGGTCAGCGTCTAAAGAGAGTAGTAGTGCGGGGGAGGACACTGTTAAAGCTGAGGATAGCTCTGCTGAAGGTGACACAACTGAGACTGAAAAGGAAACAGATTCACTTCCACTTAGCAAAGACTCTTTTGTCAGCTTAAAAGAAAATCCAATTATTTCAAAGACACTTGAGACGAAGCGTGAATCAGCTGCTGTTGTGATGGATCAACAGAGTGATGATGAGCAGTGTTATCCCTCTCAGAAGGCTTCAAATAATGACAGCAAACAGCTAACATTATCCCAAGGTGCTGAGCCGGAAGGTAGCAGTCCCATGAAAGACAAAGTCTCGCCTGCCAAAACAACGGAGAACACTAAAAACAGAACTGGCAGCATGAAGGCTACAGACAGCACACCCGTCATCAACTCCAAGGTTGAGGACAAAGACCCGTTGAGACAACAGAAGAAGAGGAAAGACATGAAATCCCCCCACAGCCTGCAGAGGGTTTCCTCTCCAGCCACACAGGAGAACTTTGGTGTTGACTCTCGGGCCAAGAAAAAATTTCGCCCCAGCAAGTGTGCAAATCAGTCTCTGCAAAGGAAGGCAGATGGACCCAACGACTACCCTGTGCTGTCCTCAGTGCGGGACGACGTCGTTAGCAATAAAATTGTTTCCAAGTGCAAGACTTCTTCAAACTTGGGGTTGCAGTCAAAAAGAAACTTGCTTGACGGCTGTACACAGAAGAAAGCTGAGATTGTGACGCCTCTTAACGGAGATTACAAAGCCAAAAAGGGACCTCTGGGGCGGCCTTTGCACCCCCCTATTTCAAAAGTGTCCTCAGTTCCCATGAACAATTCTTTGAATAAATCTAGGCCAAAGATGGGGGTTAGGTCAATAGAGAGCCATTCCTACAGGACAGCAGAGTCCCAGAATCACCTCTTAAGCCAGCTGTTTGGCCAAAAACTCACTAGCTTTAAGATTCCTTTAAGGAAGGACACATCAGAAACTATTAACTGAGAGGGGCGTGAGGGATCTGTGAATAAGAGACACAGTTATAAATGTTTAAGATAATTCATTACGGTGAATGAGATTGCACAGCCTTTTTTCTGTGAAATGCTATCTTTAAATACTTACGTAGTCACTTTATGTCTTCTTTGTACATGTGTTTTTGTTACACAAATGTGAGGACGAACGGCGTATATGAATTTTGGGTCAAAAATGAATATGCTAGTTGGGAAAATCATTGAACTCCTTTTCTGCTTTTCCTTTGTTGGCTATTATCTGTTTTAGATATTATATGTCATTTACCTAAAGGACGGGAACAATTACTTGAACATATGGTCAAATGTTTTCTCCTAAGAAATGCATGTTCATTTTGCATTGGCTCTTATCAGATTAAGCCTTTCTGCAAAAAGGACCAAATGACATGGTAACTTTCCTGGACCTTTGTCTGTGCACCTTTTGTACATGCTTCCAACATATTCATTTTGTATTAATTTTTTACTTTACTGTACTGCATTGACATTCATCATACTAGCCTTTTGTATAAACCATATGGTGCTGCATTGTGTTTAATTGTAATGTGAATGCAAAATGTCCTCAAAAGGGAACATAAGATCTGTAGCAGTTACACTTCATCCATCCGACTGTCTTTACTGGTTCTCTGTTGTTTTTTAAAGCATTCAAATACTTCATAAGAAGGCAAGATTAGGAAAGCTTCCATTGTATAATCTCAGGTGCATACAAGGACATTACAGTCCCAAGACCTGTATTCGGAGTTCTTCCCATGCACTGATAATCACACACAAATCACAAACTCAATCAACATGTCTGTAACTCCAACTGTTTAATTATGAATAGTATTTACTACTACAACAAAGGTGCTTTATCTTGTTTATACTGTATGTATCTTATATTGTATAATATTGTAGGTAGATTGTTGTTTTTGGTGTCATGCTTCATGTCAAAGTTTTATTTTAATAATGTGCAAAAGAATCCGTGAGAGATGAAAGGGGATTGCAGTGCCTCTTCAAGATGTAAAGTGGTTCACTAAGTGCCTCTTTTATAGATGGTTATTAAAGATCTGTATTGGTCTCTACTTTTCTTCTTTTGTTCATGACTTGTTTTGCAAATGTTCCAACTTCCATCCCTGCGGACTGCAGCTGTCACCACATGCATCAAACAGTGGTAGCAGGGGAAGCTTGTGCCTGCAGGCAAAAAACAGGTGCACACACACAACAAAGTCTGTCTTCATTTGATGTGTTCAGATCAGCACTTCAATGAGCTCACTCATCAACTGAAAGAGGGGCGTAAATGTATCTTTACTACAGGGAAACATTCAGCCGAAGACAGTCGCATTCATCCAGCCGTATGCTAGTCTTCAGGAGAGGCTCTCACTTCTGTCATGGTGCTCTCTCACCACGTGTAAAATGGCTTCTATCCCTACACGAACATTTTTCATCATCACATAGGAATAAAAAGCCATAGTACACATTGGCATACACGTAGTAAAACGCTGGGAGGAGCAATGTTCTCACACCGTCCACTGAATGGCGGTGAAACCTGAGAAAAAGGTGTAGGGGAAAAGGGGAGGATGACAGATTGGGGAGAGAGTAAAAGAAAAAAATTGTTATTTGATCTGTCCACTTAAAGCTAAATCAAACAGCTTTTTATACCAAACTATTGTGAACAATTTATCTTGGTATACAATGGACTTAGTGAAACTGAGATTCATTGTGACGCCAAACACCAGCAGAACAATCAACAGGCCTAAATGCATCAGTCTGTAATGAATATAAATAGTACATATAAATGTGGCATTTTCAATGTTATCGGAAAAGCATTATATATAATTGAATATACAAGATAACACTCAAAATACATATGAAGTTGCTATAATGCTTTGTAATGCATTTCATTGGCTTATAACTACAGCATGTCCATAATAATTGACAAGCTAAAAATGGTGCTTCCCATATTGGATAAAGGTTTATCAACTGTTGTGAACATATTGGTGTTTGCTGTAAAAAGAAAAAAAGGTTTGTTGTCTCTGACACCATCTTTAGAGACCATGGCAGACAGTCAGAGGAAGTATGGAGAAAACAGAACCACAGTGTTGAAATAACTTCTCTAATTAACTAAGTGGGACTGCTGGTTTGGCAGCGCCGCAGAGACCATATTTTTGGATTTATTGGTGACAACTGAAAATAGCTGTACGGCCACTGAATACTAGAATCTGCTTCTCTATTCCTCTCCTCTCAGTGAATCAGAGTTTCTTCAGCAGGAGAACATTCAAATTCATGAAGGTATGCTGGTGGATGTGTTACATCTTGACCTTTGTAACTGTCCTTAAAAAACCATGATCAGCGTGTTTAAGATTTCAATTCACTCTCACTTTTAGAGAGGCAGACAAGGAGCTGTCACAAAGCTCTTTTGGCAAGCTTATAACGCTACAACTATTATATTTTGAGGAATCACCTTTTGTAGAATCTTTTTTATTTTATAAAACATTTTAAATCATTTTTCCCGTATCATTTATTCAGGTATCTGTTTTAGATTTGGGTTTCATAGAAAGAAATATTGTTCATGATCAACTGAACTGAACATCCTTTGCATGCCCATGTATGACCTACACAGTATACAATATAGTACACTGTTAAAATTGGAGATGTACAAAATAGTCATGATATTGATAGGTAGCCTTTTTTGTTGCATATGAATTTTATATGGAGCATTATATTGAATAAAATAATATTTCGTTTTTCTGTTAATGTATGCAGAGTTCACAGCTTTTCTCTTTTGCATATAATACAGTATACGTTGCATCGATTGTGACCATTTGTGGGCTAGACGTGCCAAATGAGGTGCTGACATCTTTGATGGGCAGTGTAAAGATTGCATGTCATTTGCTAAAGATTGGTAAATCTCTTTTAAATACCTCAGTGATACCCGCTGAGACATGCTGTTACTGAGAATGTCTAGCGCTTTATAGTTGAGATTCAACAGGGAAATATCAGAGAGGGTCACAAAATGATAACAAATGTTTTGGGATTTCAAAGCATTGAATGAAAAGAATCTCCTCACATTTGTAGATTCACACTACATAAACCAAATAAAGAGCCAGAGTGGGAGGATGGAGGACCATCTGTTGTTGTTGGATCCAATGGCAGTTGCATCAACATTCAAATAACACTTACTGAGAATTACAATGTGCTTTATTGTACACGCAAAAATGTGAAGAATAAAAAGGAGCACATTTTCTTAGTAGAACATGTACTGTAGCTAGAGTCTAACGATATGCAAAAGCTGTATTCAGAGTTTCTATGTGAATATTACACAATGAAGTCTTATTAAATATTCAGTTCGACAGAGGATGCATGGTCTATTCGCCGAGCCGAGATTAAATTAGTAACACTGCAGGAATCTCTGCAGGTCAGGGATTTATTGATGAGTGTGATGCCTGAGAGCCGAATGATTGATCACTTCAGGGACATTTGAAATGTAAATGAAATGCCTGTGATGAACATGTCAAATAGAACAGTCATAACAGAAGCCAAGTGTAAGAGACGCATACTGTTATATATTTAAAATGTTGCCAGTTCATTATTTCCTTACGCAGATTTGAATTCCTCGATGTGTGTAATATTGCACTGGTCATTTATTGCAAAAATGACAGCCGATAACTTCTCCTTGGTCTTTTACCTCTTTGGGTGGGTGGTCTCGCTGCATATTAAAATCTTGTCCAGGTCCTCCGGGCAGCATCTGTGTGTTGAAAAGTAAAGCAGAATTGTCATATATGTTTATATTTTGTCACAATTGAACCCAGAATGTGTCGCACAGTGTGAGAAGGAGCCCCCCGCACCCCCCTGCCATGCATCCTTTTATCATCTGATCTAGGAGGAGATTCTCTAGAGTCGCAGTCATACAGGAGCATGACAGCAACGCTTTGCACTTTGAAGTAGAGTGACATTATCAGTAAGTATGGTCTTGAAATAGCGTCTCCTCTCACTCGAGTCTCATCTGATCTTTTACTTTCTTCCCTTCCTCTATTTGTTCTACCCTCCTGCTCTCTCCATCAATTTCCTACTCTGTGACTTTCCCTTTTTTTTTGCCTCGGCCCATTTTCCTCTCTCACCTTTTATCTCAGTTATTCACCTGCTTTTTCCCCTCCCCCTTCCCTTCCATATCACCCCGTTTCTCTCCACCTTTCATTTATCTTCTTCCATCTCTCCCTGTCGCCCTCTCACCTTCCCACCCGACCCTCCTCCCCGTGTTGTTCCTCCCTTCCTATCTCCTCTCTCCCCTCACCCTCTGCTCCCCCCCCCCCCCCCGCTCGCTGTGGAGCGTGCTGTTTGCTGCTCTCAGGGAGGTCGGGGGATCACGGGCAGATAGAGATGGGCTACTGGTCAGCGGTAATGACACACAGGCTGAGGGGCCACTGAGGTCACCTCTTTGGGGGAATGGGAGGCTTCAGCCATCACGGAGGGAGATAAATAGATAGATGGATGGGGAGGGATTTGTCGCATGAAGGGGAAGGAATGACTGAGCATCCCTCTCTGCACACACAGGGGGGAGATCGTGATGAATTTCCAATGGGATGATATCTGAAATCATTTGTGTTCGACACTGAGAATGTGTATGAATAATTCAATATAAACACGTTCCCCCGGTGTGAACAAAGAGGGCAAAGAAATCGTATGAAATCAAGACATCAAACCAATTTTTCCCGTCAGCCATCAAACACACTGCCTACCGCATTCTTTACTTTAATGGCAGCGCGCTTGCAGATAAAAAAAAACTACACAGGTAAACCTCATTCCCCCAAGACTGGCACATGGAGTCAAAGGAACTGGGGCACTAGTAACATCACAATGAATGACTAAGTTAATGAGCAGATACAAATAAATCATAGTGGGGAGAGGATGATATGGAAGACGAGTCATTAAAGTAAAGTCATGCCCCCTTTGGATTCCCTAATGAATGGCCTCTCAGCAGGAAGTTGCCATCCCTTGCTTCCAACAGAGCCTTTATCTGCTCAACCATTTGTCATCCAGTCGGCACCAGAGAGGGAGCAGGCTGTACACAATGGCTGAAAGTACTTGTTTGATGTTCCAGGTTTACAGGAATAAATGAGGTTGCTCTGCAGGGGCTATGCAAACACATTAAAGGCTGCCGGTGAGTGTCTGCAGTGGCTGGAACACCGCGCCCGACAGCAGGTGTCTTCAGAGCGGCCGGCCTTAAACATGACTCACAGCTGCTTTCAAGTTTCTTACACATACTTAGTTCAGCTGGCGGTTGCAAGTTTCATTTTCTAATCATGCAGCCAAAATCAATTCTATCCATACCTTTTCATACGGATCCATTTCCCTTCTCTGCGCATTTGGAGGGAAATCCTTTCTTTCAATTACAGACTACAGAGAAAGTCAGCAGGTATAACATCTTATCTGAAATTGCTCTTCCTGGCATGACATTTTCAAATGGACCGAAATGCAATCATGCATATGGGAATTTCATAGACCAACCAAATGACCCTTTATATTCGTAGCAGGAGCTGCTGGCCAGCAGGGATGCTTCTCATAGCACTGAGTCCCCCCCATCCCTCCTTCACCGCCCTTTTCTTACTCTTACTCCACCAACCTTCATCCTCTCCCCTCCTCCACCTCCACAGAGCGCTCCTTCAGCTTCCCCTCTCGCTGTCTCTGCAGTTATCACAGAGAATGTGAAGGATCTACCCTGACATTTGATGTGGCACAAAATTGGATTTCCAGTGTGATTCTCTCCCCGAGCCCCTCGTGGAGTGTAATCCACGCTGTGACTAATTGAGTGGCATGCCAACAGCCAGAGTGCGTAAATGGATGGTGAAATGTGTCTGTGACCTGCTACCTCTTTTTTGTCTGATGGCCTGCTAGTTCATTAGACAGAGAAGAGACACGCACGCACACGCACGCACGCACACACACACACACACACACACACACACACACACACACACACACACAGTCCTCGCTATGCAGGATTCTCTGATACAAAGACACATTTTATCCTTTGTCAATGTCATCTCTTCTTGCTGCCTATTGAATGTGACCCTGCATGTGCTTT